GCGCCCTCTGGCGGGCGCAGGCGGAATCCGCGGAGCCCGAGGCGGCGCGTGGGCCCGGAGCGAGCTTTGCGGCGCGTGGGTCCTCCTGACCTGGGCGCGCCGTCCGCGGCGGTCGGAGCCTGGCGTCTCCCGCGCGTCATCGCCCTCGCTTCTGTCGCGGCACCGGCGCTGCTTCGATCCTTTAAGAGAGCAAAGTCCACTCTTAGGCTGAGTGCGGAGCTAGGAGGCACCGCACAGCCCCTGGGGACACAGCCTTCCCTGGGGCAGAGTTGGGGTCCAGGCCCCGCTGAGATGGAAGGGGGTCTCCAGGGGGAGGGGGAGAGAGAGAGAAACATCAATGATGAGAGAGAATCATTGATCGGCTGCCTCCTGCACGCCTCCTACTGGGGATTGAACCTGCATACTGGGGATTGAACCTGCAACCCGGGCACGTGCCCTTGACCGGAATTGAACCTGGGACTCTTCAGTCCACAGGCTGAGGCTCTATCCACTGAGCCAAACTAGCGAGGGCTCCAGGCTCTTTTAAGATGAGCTGGAAGACAGGACTGGGGAGGAAGCCAGGTTCCCTTCCATTCACCACCCGCCCACCCACCAGGAAAGCCTGCTTCCCAGGGTCAGGGAGGAGGGCTAGGCCTGTGCACACTATGTCCACCCAGAGGCGAAGGGGTGGGGGCCCGGCAAGGAATGGGCTTGCCTAGTGATGGGGCAGGATGTGGGGGCCCTGAACCCTGGAGCCCAGGTCTCAGCCTGGCTGCAGAGCCTCCACCAGGCCAGTGGAAGCTTCCGTCCAGGTGGGGCCACTCCCAGCCAATGGCCCTGCAATGGAAGGCATAAGGCCTCTCCCTCCTCCTACTTTTTGGAGAAAAGAGAAGCCATCACCTGGGAACTCCCATTCCAGCCTCCAAACCTTCCACCTCCTGCCCCTAAGCCAGCCTCTGCTCTCACCACCTGGTACAATGGAATAGGCACCCTTTCCTCATGACAGAACCACCCCTGGGCTCCCAATGCCATCCCCTTGCTCTTCCGGGATCACAAAGCTCCCTCTCTTCTGGATCCTTCCTCCGACTTTCCAAAGGACTTTAATCTTCCCCAACGTAAAATACAAAACACCAAGCTGCCTGCTGGCCCCCAGCTGCAGCCCTACTTCTCTCTCCTTCCAAACTTCTCGGAGGGGAATTGCTGCTTTGCTCCCTGTCTTGCTTCCTCATCCCCACTCAGAACTTGACATAGGCCAAGGCTGCTCCAGCCAAACGGCTCCTGCCGAGACCAACATCCCCCTGGCCACTGCCCCCAATGGGCCCTTCTTCCTCACCCAAGAGGGCGCTCTTCAGCAGCTGATCACATGGAGCAGCTACTCACTCCCTGTTGCTGGAAAACTGCCCACCTAGACCCAAATCCCATCTGTCCAAAACAGAACCTCAGCCCTTTCCCCAAACCTGCTCCCTCTCTGGTGGCCTCCCAACACTAGCGAATGGCACCTCCACCCACCCAGTCCCGCAAGCTGCAGCCCTGGTGCCACTGATCACAAACCCCCCTCTCTCAGCCCAATCCCTCACCCCATTCATCCTGGGAAGACCACCTCCTCAACGTCTCCTGCACGTGGCCACTCACCTGGGCCCCTGCACCTCCCAGCTCCCCCCACCCCCTGGCTTTCTCCCTGGAAGCCACTCTGCACCCAATGGCCCTTTCTAAAATGCCTGACATTAACATGCTTGATGGGGAAGGGGGGCTGCCCATTGCCCTCCGCAAAGAGCTCAAACCCCTCAAGGGGCAACGAGGCCTGCATGGCCTCCTGACTTCTCCAACTGCTCCAGCCACATTGGACCATGTGCAGTTTCCAGAACACTCCATGCTTTAGGACCGTCCCACATCCTTTTTGGTTGTTCCTCTGCTTGAACTGGTCTTTCTGGCCAACTCCTACAGGCCCTCCAGCCTCAGCTTAAACTTCCCTCCTCCGGAAAGTCTTCCCCCAGGTCATGTCTGAGGGACATAGCCTACATGGCATCCTATATAACCCCATGCATTCAGCATATTTGTGGAACCCATGCTAGGTGCAAGCAGAGGTACTGGGGCACGCAAGACATTCTGCTGAGAGGAGATAGAGAGCAAACAACAGCTGATAAATTAGTGGGTTGTTTCAAAGAACAGTGATGCTGTGAACAAAGTGAAACAGGTTCCTAAGAACAGAGAGCAGCTGGGGTGGGAGGTAACACTGAGTCGAGGTGTCAGTGAAGACATCGCAGAGCATAAGGGGAGCCAGGGGTTCTGGGGGGACAGTGTTCCATGTGGAGGGAGCAGATGGGGTCACTGTCCTGTGGTGGGAACAAGCCAGGAGGCTGGGGTGGTTGGAGGGAAGTGAGCCAGGGGAGTGTGGTGAGAGGAGAGGACCACCCAGGCCTTTTTAAAAAAGTGCAAAAGAAAAAAAAAAGTGCAATGAAAAGACATTGGAGGGGAAAACCAAAGGAGTGAGATGACGTGTCTTTTAAAAGATTGCTCTCGCCCTAACCGGTTTGGCTCAGTGGATAGAGCGTCGGCCTGCAGACTCAAGGGTCCCAGGTTCGATTCCGGTCAAGGGCATGTACCTTGGTTGCGGGCACATCCCCAGTAGGATGCGTGCAAGAGGCAGCTGACCGATGTTTCTAACTCTCTATCCCTCTTCCCTCCTCTCTGTAAAAAATCAATAAAATCTATTAAAAAAAAAAAAAAGATTGCTCTCACCCTGGCCGGCTGCTCAGTGGTCAGAGCGTCAATTCCCTGTCAAGGGCATGGACCTCAGTTGCAGGCTCCATCCCCATCCTGGCTGGGGTGCATGTGGGAGGCAACCAATTGATGTGTCTCTCTCACATCAGTGTTTCTCTTTCTCTCTTTCTCCCTCCTCCCTCCCCTTCACTCTCTCTAAAAAAATCAATGGAAAAAGTATCCTCGGGTGAGGATTAAGGAAGAAAAAAAAAGATTGCTCTGGCTGCAGCTCAGAGGGTGGCCAATGGGGGCAGGGATGGCAGCCGGGAGACCCTGGCACAGGGAGGGATGCGGTGGGTGGGCGGGGCTGAGGTGTGTAACCGGATCAGATGTGGAGATGGAGCGAGGAATCAGGATGAGCCACAGGGTTTGGGACTGGGCTGGACTAGTTCCTGAAAGGGGAAGACCCCAGAAGGTGGAATATATATTAGGTTCTGTTTGAGGCCTTGTTTTGAACGGACTTTAGACTTGCGGGTGGAAAGATCAAACACCAGACCTGCCTGGCTGTGAGTTCTGAGGCAGGACCTGTCCGCCTTCAGCACCATTTTATCCCCAGCCCCAGAGCAAGGCCCGAGGGCAATAGAAAGAGGATGAGACACTGTGTAGGTAGCTGATCAAGCACCTGTAATCCCACTCCCAATCTTTTCTCCCGCCCTCCAGAACAGAATAATAAGACACACTCTAAAGGTAGCATTGGGCCAAATTCACAGCGTTACTAAAACAGCGGTTCTCAATCTATGGTCCCCGGATCAGCCAGCAGCAGCCTCACCTGGAAATTGTTAGAAATACAAATTCCTAAGTCCCTCCCCATACCTATTGGATCACAAACTCGGGAGTGGAGGTTTAACCAATGAGCTTCCTGGTGATTTTGAAGCCGGCTAATGTTTGAAGCTGCTGTTCTGTGGGCCTCAGGCCTCGTCCTCCAGGTCGGGTAGGACACACACCTGGAGAAATACTGGGCCCATCTGTCTGAAGAGGACAGAGGCCCTCCTGGACCAACATCTGGCTGAGCTCTGGGTTTCTCCCCACCACAGCATCTTCACTCCCATCCCTCAGCCACTGCAGTGCTGCCCAAGGCCAGCTGGTGGCGCCAGAGCCTTAGGCTTCACTGTGGCATCAGGAACTAGAGACCCCAGAGCTGTCCCCCTCCCCAGGGCCTTCTTCCCGCTGGGAGCCTCCGCTCCCAGGCCTGCCCACTGGCCTTCACAGGAAGAGGAGCGCAGAGGTTGGCACACACAAGTGGGGACCAACCCCCTCTTCCTGGAGGTTAGGATGGGGGGCTAGAGGACACCCCTTGGTCAGAGAGAAATTAGGGGTGTCTAGTCTGTGGGACTCGGGGGTCAAGAGCCCAGGCAGGCGACTCCGGTCCAGTGGACTCTGGCCACACGCCCATTAACCCTCTGCCTACCCTGCCCGACCTCATGTGAGGCCTCAGGTGCCGTTTCCCTGCCCGTGGGTGGGGGCAGCCTGGAGGTACTCCAGTGCCCAGAGCTCAAGGGCTGGGGGTCCCAAGCAGGCTGGGAATAGGGCGCAGCTGAGGGATGCTGGGATGGAGCTCTCTCTTACCAGCTGCCAGCTTCATGCCGCCTGGGTTGGGGGCTCTCT